TCATGGTCCTCTTTACCCTGACCAGGTATAGTAGATGAGTCATTTAGATGCCTATATATGGCAGAGGTGTGAAAATACTTAGATTATCTTTAAAAAGCATAGTTGTATAGGCTTCCTCCATATTGTTTGTTCCCCTTCATGCCTCTGTTAGTCAAACAAAGCTTTCATTCTTTGACCAGAAAGAAGTTGCTCTTGGCATTTATTGATTTTATTTGTAACTGTGATAAATTTGCAAAACTAGCTTAGAGTCTGCAACACATGGATCCGGTAAAAACACAAATCAACATATCCACTCTTTTGCTTGCATACATTTGTTTAATATACTTGTGACTTGATTAGCATTAGCTACTAGCTTTTATTTCTTGTATAAGTACCAAGGAAAAATGCCTTTTGTATAAATGGTAATACTTCAAATGCTGACCATTGCTCTTTAGAATTTCTTGTTGTTTCTCTTCTGAAGTTCTCAATCATCTCAATGCCATATTCAGGGGTTCTTACCAGTTGAAGCTTCGATTATGGATGTGGAGGTATTGGGATTGGGAGGAAAAAGGGCTAGAGATATTCAATCATCGTACAAAAAGAGGGAAGAACTCTTTACTGAGCAAAGACGAAAGGTAATATGACTTCAGTGGACATTATCACTGCTTCATCATGTTATGAGCAGCATGATAACACAAATTTTTATCTTAACATTATCTACAGGTTGACTTGAAAACATTTGGAAATTGGGAAGATTCCCCCGAGAAAATGATGATGGATATGGTTTCTGACCCTAACAGAGTTCGTCGAGAAGATCGATGAGCTGATTCTTCACTAGAAGAGATTTCACACGATCCAGAACTTTTATCATTATGTACATAAGGAGATGTTCAAGTTTTATATGCTACTTCACTTTGAATAAGATTTGTATGTTTGGTTTCAAAGTCTCTATTTCACGCACTCTCTGTGATCTCTAGTGTCAAAAGTGAGTAAGTTTATGTAGTAAACAAACATAATGCATTTTATGTAAGATGTATACTAGATTTGAGATGCTCTGTTTGGTCAATATTATCCACCATCTATGATTTTTGTACAATCCTAGATAAGACATTTGATAGTTATATTATAAGAGCATGTCTAGATTAATTTTATCTCCTCCTCACTTAATTGATACTGCTCTAATTGAAACAGTTTGAATAAAGTAATAACTTCTTGTTTTTCCAGAATATCAATTACTTTGAAACAAATATAACTTTGCCAGAAAATGCACATACCACTGTTTACTTCAAAGACAGAAGTATTAAGAGTCAATTCCAAAATGAGATCAAACCGTTTGGAAGGAAATATTATTCTTTTGCAGGAATAAATGGAAGAAGAAATGAGGATTGGGAAGGCACTTCAAAGTCTCACAATACAAAGGATAGCAAATTCATGATCTAGTACAAATCTAATATTCTTGTTGACATAAATGCAACAAAAAGCTAGCTTTGCCCCTATTTGAAGATTCATCTCTCTGGAATGTCATATAGCTGATCTAACGCTGAGAAAATGCCCCGATGAGAAGCTAGGTGTGAGTAGCTTTGATTATTGCTTCTTCTCTTCTGCTTTCTTTGGCTGAAAATTTGTAGAGAAATACAGTACCAAATGAATAATTAGGAAAAACGAAGTTTTACATAGACAATACGCTTGTTGGTACAAGTAGCTAGTGATTTATCTCTCAACTAGCTAACAGTTTCAACAAGTTCTCAAACCTAAGCAGCACCAATGCAGAACAAGGTTGTGGTCAACAACGAATAATTTCAAAGTTCTTGGGAGAACATTCTTTGCACTAGAAATAATTTACTTGGAAAGGTAACTTTTTTCTGAAAAGGAATAAGGATAAGAGAGTAATTCATGACTTATATCTCTGGGGAAAAAGAAATGCATATGATTCTAAATGTCCAGATCTCTTTCATATTCAAATCGAAGAAGAACAGTTTTTCCGGGACAAGCAGAACAGAGGGAAAAAAGAAGTGGAAAAGAGAAGGGAACAAGAGGAGAAATATAGGAATTAAACACACTTAAGGCTAGTTTGTAGGGCATGTTGAAAACCTAAAAGCAATTGATAGGCTGTCTGAGCTTAATTTGGTGTCCATGCTTCATAGGTTCAACATCTAAAAGCACAGATATCTAACACTTCCAATTGCTTTTTCCTTCACGACAATTGTCTTCTACACGGTAACTTTCCCTTTTTGGGGGGAAAGACCTCAGGTAACTTAGCCCTAATCAATCAGTTTATGTACATAATAAAGAAGTTCATTTTATTACAAAGAAGTACTCCTAGACTACATTACCTTCCTAGACTAATAACTAGCAACTGATCTTGAAGCATACCAACACAAGTGACTCTTCAGTGGCAACCAAATCAGTATCAACTATCAACTACAAAGAAATATATTCTTGCTCTTATCAATGGTCCGGTTAAAAACAGAAAGTTCCTCAAAGTCTCTTATACAATTAATCTTACATAATCTTTCCAAGGGTCTGATATCAAGCCACAAAGCTCCTCAAAACCACTACATTATCTGTAGAAAGTAATAAGTGAGACAAAAACTGCTTTATCGCAGCACCTCTAATCACAACTCTGGCCATCGTCTAGATTACACTGATCTTTTTGGGATAACTGACTAATGCAATTTTAGATCCATCAAACTGATGTCTTATGAAAACCTAAATGATACATACTGACAACTAGAAAGGCAAAAACCTTAAATGCATCTCCTTTCATGATATAAAGATCCCTTCTTTATGATAGTGGGCTACTCTCCGCATGTTAAACATACCTTCAGCAATCTAAGAATCGTCTCGCATATCATTTTAAAGAAACACACACACAAAGCCACACATTGGCATATAGAAGAGCTAGTAAATGCAACATTTACCTTCTAAAATCAAGGAGATATGAAAGTATTTCAAGAATGTTAACCTGTTATAATATTCACCAAACAAATATTAACCTATTATTCTTTGTCAACAAATTATTACGTGAGGGATCTTAAAACATAGTCATATGCATACAATTAGGTAAACTGATAGCCACTAACTACTACAAGAGAACATCTTACTGTTCTACTCAAGTTTATGCAAATTGGAAGGAGTTTTTATTAGTTTTCATGTTTTAGTTGATAACAATAGGCAGTACAGATGCTAACAAACCCAGAAACACGGATTCGTTAAAGATTAGCAAACAAAAGTTCCAATTTGAAATATAGATCATCAGATAAGAGCTCAATCAGGATGGGATATACAAAATAGCAAATAAGGATGCCCCAGATTCAAAAGTACAGGACGAGCTACAATATAGTAACAGTAATCATGAATGCAACACCTCCAGCACACCAAAAGAGTTCTCATTTCATCATCCAATTTAGACAGTCCAGCTATAGAGGATCACAAACAAACTATATCATCCTTGGAGAAGCATATCTATACAGAGCTACAAATTTCAGAAAATTATAGAAAGATCATAATCTTCTCTCCCCCTCTTGAGGGCAGAGTTAGGGGTGCAAGCACTTGAAAATTACACTACATACACAAGGTCAATAATTTATTTTTGATTCATTTGGTTTCTTTGTGTGTAATTACTTTTTTATATTTTGAATCACCTTATTGAAAATTCCGACTCCGCTACTGCACCCCCATTCCCAACCCCAACCCCAACCCGGGAACACAACCCAAACTAAAAGAAGAAACATAAGCAGGTCTAAAAGCTATACACTCAACCTGTTCGACAATATGCCTCAACCAAATCAGAACAAAAATTCAAATACAATCAATGGAAAAGGGAAAAAGCTATCACCTTTATTCCAAGAAATGGTTGTTTAAGCTCTTCATCAGGAATGATAACAGGCCATTTCTCACCAGCTTCACGAAACATCTGTTCAGTCTCAAGGTACTGACCCTTTTCAAGAATCATGGTACGGATATTCTGTGCCGGTGTAGTAGTTGCATCATAGGTCTGCTCGACTCCATTGACGAAAGTGACAGAGATTTGCGGTGGATGGTCATCCGTGCGGCGCTTGACCTGAACTTGGCAACTTGGGTTTGATTCTTTGGCTTTAGGAGCATTACATTGAGCCAAAAACTCCATACATGAAGCTATGCGTGGATCTAAGGCATTGAATTCGATTTTCACCTTTGACAAGAATTTCAACATCTTCTTTCACTCTTTCTCCTCTTTTGGCTACACTGATTTCTGCTTCCCCTCTCTTTTGAGTTTTGAGTTTTGAGTATATATTTGGATTTTATTTTTAAGTGGGCAATAAAAATTATTTCACATTTAATTTTTAAGTAATTGTGCAAGTATAAAAAACTTTTTATTAAATTTTTTTTTTTGGTAATTAAACAATTCTATTATTCCTTCCATTATAAGTTTATGCACCTTTCTATATTTAATAATGATCAATATATTACGTTGATATATTTAAGACCACAACATTCGAAGACAATGTTAGCAACATTCAAAGACAACTTTACGCAAATCTTTAATTTCAAAAGTGTTTTGTTTGGTACATATTATTTTATAGAGACTTTCATAATTAGTTTTTTTTTATTTCGTTATAAAAAGAATGGTTCTTTCCTTTTCCGGTAACTCTTTAATTTTAACTTTTTATATTCACCACATGATATGTTTAAAACTACAAGATTAAAGTGTGTTTCAATACATTCTATATATCTTTATTCTTTAGTCTAAGTCCAAGATTCAAAAAAATTCTTTACTTTCTATAATTTTGCGTTAAAGTTGAAACCGGAAAAACAAATTGAAATGGAGGAAGTATATCATTCAGGTTGAGCCATCATCCTTAATATATTGGTTAGCTTTGATAACCTTCTGTATCATTGAACCCACAGTTTATTCTGCTTCTTGCATAGTTCTCCAGCTGACTTAGGTAAATTTGAAGGCAATTTTTACATAATATCAAAAGAATCAAATGAACTTTAGATGCCATAGTGGGGGAGGGGGGTTGGCAGCACCTACAGGCTACAGCTGAAAGCAACTCTTCCAAACTTCTCATTAGCAGTCAGAAATACATCAGCCAGAAAAGCACACAATATAAAGATACACACAAAGGTGATGTAAAGTAAAAAGAAGAACAAGCATCTCAAACAAAATCCTTGAAAAAGAAAAGGGGGGGTTTGAGTAGGCATGAGAAAATAGTAAATTTACAAGAAAAATAACTCTTTCTACATTTCTCTTCACAAATAAATAATGGTCCTGGGGATAGCTTTGCTGTGGAGTTCGTAAGAGCAGATGACCAGCATCCAAAGGAATTGCCAATAAGCCACACCGTCATATGCCATCCGTTAGTTGAGTCACAGAGGAACTCTACTCATCTCTGCCACTTCCTCTCTGAAAAACACACATCAGACACCGACAAAATATTACATATGAGAATTCCACAAAGCTCAGAATTGGAAGAAGAAGAAAAGAAAAGTCAGTCCAGCAGTTAAAGAATCTTGGTGACCCACAATTGTCATCATAAATTATCAGTGAATTTTCATCCTTATGAAGCTTAATGCCTGTGCAAACTGCCAAAATTTGCACGAAAAAGCTCAAGGTTAAGAGGATCTCTAGGGGACACACATGCATGGTTTACAACCAACAATTTTGGTGTCGATGAAAGTAGTGCAGTTAAGTGGTCTAAATATAACATTGTAAGAGTAGTTAAAAGAAACAAAGGTCAGAGTGCAAAGGGAAGAATAAATGTCAGGTGATCGACGTGTGAATAAACAGTGCTGCAATTGACGTACATGCCGGATTCAAAAAGGAAGTTGATACCATTTGTTAGTGCTTAAAACACTAAGGTTTTTTACTCATCTATATCAGCAGAGTGTTAGTAGTTTTCAGGTGACTAGACTCGGGATATCATACTTGATCCTATCTTGATTCTATCAAAGGGGGAAAGGAGGTACTAGGTAGGAAATGAGTTGGAGTATCGGGTCATAACTCAAGTCAGTTCTCATTGCAGTAACAAATAGCAATAGATTGTATTATGCAAGGCATCTGAAGGTTTAGAAAATACCCTGTGGAGATTGAGTTCCATTTCCCTTTGCACCCTGCTGTGCATTAGACAGAGACCGCTGGATACGAGGTGAACCTTGCCTACCATTTGAACCAGGGAGAGAGTGTCTCTTTTTGATATATTCATCTTTATTGTGGACATCTGGACTAGATCTTGGGGAGCTATTTGGGATAACTTTGGCTCTTGCAGATTCTGTTGCTTGCATGTAACTTGGGAGAGAACTGCTAGTACTGTTATCTCTAGCCTCCTGATCAGCTTGTCCAGCTTTTGTTGAACCAAACGAGTTTCGTCGCTTCTCATTTTTATTATGATCCTTAGATAATTGTTCCGAACTAGTTGTGCCTGGAGCATGGTTTAGCTTTGAAGGAGACTTTTTGCTAGCAGGTGCAGAACGGGGCTTGGGAATTGATCCACTGTTTTCACTTTTTAGCTTCTTAGGATTCACTGACACTTGACTAGAAGGTGTCCCTTGGGATTCAGGGACGGTTATATGGCTCCTTGGAGATGCGTCTGGTGATGACTTGTATAGTCGATCCGTCTTAGCTTCGTGCTCTATTTGAACATTAACTGAATTGTTTTCTGGCTTCTGTTCTTCGGGTGATAGATCTGAACTGACCATAACATCTACATGCTTAGCATCATCAGTAGGATCCTCTCTCCCTGCCTGAACATAGTCGGAGTGTGATAAGTCATTTGTACTATCATCTTCAATGTGAGGGTATCCATTGCTCTTACGATGGTCAGTTCCACCATTGGAAGGAAGTTCCTGCTCAAATACATGACCTCCGACGTCAGACCTATCTGGTGAATCCAGGGTAGAAGAAATAGAAAGCTCCGTGCCACATTCTGAACCACCAACTTGAGCTCTTGTACTATGAGGAACAGAATTTTCTGACGGAGCAGCTTCCCTTGCCCCAAATGAATGATCAGTGATAGTTGAAAACGTATCTTCACTAGATTCATCTTCAGTTTTATGATTGGGCAAACTAGTCACTTTGGTTGATTTAGCTGCCAAAGTGAGTTCCTCAAACTTTGACTGAGCAGCAATAAATGCAGGATTACTTGCCTTTCTTGATCCATGTAAAATCTTTTTGCTCTCGGTCTCTGAAAGTTCAAGGGAATGTGTATCCTCTCTCTCAACTTCAGTGTTTGCAGGGAAAGAATTGGGCTCCATCTCAGGAAGAGCCCTGGCCTCCTTAAGTTGAGTAGGAATAGAACAGTCATCTCTTGAAGTTTTTTCATCAACATTCAGAGGCTGAGGAGGTAAAGTCGGTATGTCGGCTTGAAAATCTAAGCTGTCTGCATCATAAGTGATCAAATTATCATCACTTTCAGATGGCACTGCAGACAGCGATGCCTCCTCACCCTCTCTGAAGTCCATTGACTCGGAATCAAGCTGAACTTTACTTTCCATAAGGTTACTGTGGTGCTCGGTAGGTTCATTCTCCTGCTGCTCGGCAGATAATTCTGACTGTGGTGACAGTTGATTTCCTGGTGATGCAACAGACATCCATCTCTCTAACCATTTCCAGGCAGAATCAGATTTGGAAGGGTCACACTTAATATTTATACTTTTGGTCCTTGGAGTTGATTCAAGGAGCTTGTACCAAAAGAGAAATAACAAATCAGTTTGGATGGGAAATGATACATAGTTAAAAAAGAATATCGCATATTTCAGATCATATAGCGGAAAATGACTGATATATACCTGTCGAGCGAAGCTATTGCTCAGTAGCTTTGAAATAGAAATGTATGTGAACTCTGATTTTGTTCCTGAGTTCTCTTTTCCCTGAAAGAAAGAAACATCAGAGATGTGACTCCATCAGTTGAAAGGGCTCAACAACACCCATAAGGAGGGGGGTGGGGGGAGAGGGAAAAGAAAAAATGCCTCAAATGATAGCTAAGAGTGCCTCAGTGTCAAATCTAGGATTCCAAAGCGAGGGGAGCAAAAACATTCAGATTTATGCTTGAGAAAGAAATATTGCCTATATAGTTTCATACTCTTGATCTTTCCAATACTTACTTTTAGCTTTTCCTTGATACTAGATCCTTCTGCAATGCGATTAGTGTGATGTGCTCGAACAAGAGTTTGCATTTTGACAATAGCTTGAACACATCGCAGAGTTCCTACAGCATGCCTGCGAACTAAATGTCCACGTACAGCAGCTTGCAATTTAGTTATATGCTTTTGCTTCAATTGAGCTCTTCGTGCCTAGGAGAAGAAACAATCAAATACAAATTAAATTTATATTGCCAAAAGCTTTAACCATAAAATGGCCAAATTAATTGAAAGAATAGATGACAAAATTGAGGTACCAGAAATGCTCTGACTGCAGTCTGGATAACAAGAGCGTGTTCATCCAGGATGACATCAGCTTTACCATCATTGACTCTAGCTGTTACTGGCTCTGATTGTTTTGCATCCACCAAGTCTGAGAGCAGGGAGTTCTCTTCTGATGAGATGGGGGCCTTTTCATCTGAAGAGACGCTGGGCTTCTCATCTTCGGAGACCTCGAGATTCACTTTTTCGGAGATCAAGGGCTTTTCATCCACTGAGACTTCCACCAAGAGCTGTGGCTTCGCGTCCGTGGAGACTTGGGGCTTCTCATCCACTGAGACCTGGAGCTTCTCATCTTCCAGAACCTGTGGCTTCTCATCCTCTGAGATCTGGGGGTTCTCATTTGCCAAGACCTGGGGCTTCTCGTCAGCCGACACCTGAGACTTCTCGACCGTTGGAAACTGGGGTTTCTCATCTGCCCATTGGACAACAGATGCCTTCTCTGGAATGGTGGAGTTAGATTGTGTTTGCAGATTGGCATTAGCAGCTTCTGGCCAGTCCTTGTTCCCAGATGGTGTTTCTGAAACTACTGTATTGCTTAATACACGATGCCTGGCAGATTTCTTGCGGAAACTCCATCCACGTTTGTCGCTTGAGCTTTTACTCTAAGAACATGTATCAAATAATTCATTCGACAAAGTATAAAGGAGATGGAAAAGGCAAAAGAGAAACTGAAAAATTCCTAATAAGAATTGTGTAAGATATTTAACTGAACATCCAATATGATATAAAGTTGTATTGCAAGTAGCTGAGTTTAACACCCATCCACATGTATATCAATTTCTCTTTTTACCCATGAAGTATATATACAAAGAGGGAAACAATGGAAAGAGATCAATATCCTTTATTAGATCCATACTATAGACCACGAGGGACAAGACAGGACGATGTGCAGATTGTAGATTGGCATTTCTGGAATCATGTAGCACGCATACATAGATGAGTCATGATGCATATAGTAGGAATATCTGAAAATCAAGCTTCTTACTAAGAAAAATTAATATGCCTAGAAGCCTCAGATGGGAAATGAATCCATTGACGACAAGATCTTCTTAATCATATCTGTTCATTTTTTGCACAAATGATGATTATTTTTCTGCCAACCTCTTAACCTCCAGAGACCATTGATAAGAAATGAAATCATGCACAAGCTTGTCTTCTTAATCATGTTTCGTCACATGTATGTCAGCGGATCGGTAATTGATTTGTTTTTCCATACTTAAGCATTCCACCAATCAGGTAGTAGGTAATGTGAAGTCTCATAGCTGGAATTATCAGCTCAACTTATATTACAAACTACACAGCAGCAAGTCCATAATGATGTAAGAAGGAAGACAAGATATATTTGGCATAAAGCATTTGGAAACAAGTAGTGATTGCATTGGACTATCATGTTGACATCATCATAAAAAATTAACTTGACGTTGAAATATGACATACTCAACTTGAAATGATAACTAGATGTTATCTAAACTTACATTGTAAATTTGAAAAGACATTACTAAGAACAAGTACAACTCAATTAATGAAACAAAATTTTGACAAACACTGAAAGACAAATATGGTATTTTTGCAATTGAGGCGACGTTGGTTAATTGACTGGTCCAGAAATTGAAACGTTTCACTAGCATTTATCTTAGAAAACACATCCCTCATTGGCAGTCACAAATTGAATCAATTTTCTTTTCTAGGTAAATTGCATCACTATTTTTTCATTCCCATCTAAACAAAAGAAATCCACTTACAATAGTGATCCAATTCATTTCCATTTCGAAACACATTGAATCCATACAGTACACTCACAACTTCATGGTGTCAATGATTTTATATCAACTGATCAAAATCAAGCCTTTCCTTTGAAGTTGGCAATTATTTAACTAACAAACATGAACAATTGAACAATTTAATATCTCAAACACTCTCATTTAACATTGATGTGCACACATCTAACAAGTTCTCAACCAAACCACAAATCAGTCCACATTTCACAATCTTACATCCCCTAATAGAGATCCAGTGACAAAGTTCAAAACTTTTCTACATACCTTCCACAAAAAAAAAACCTCCTTTATTCAAGAACCAAATCAGCTCAACTCCATCATCTCAAAAACATAACAAATTAGTAAAAACAAAAAAAACCCCACAAAAGATCAGACTCCACATTTTGATGGGTTGATCCAAGATTCACTTCAAAACCATTTTCTCACAAAAAAGATTCAATTTTTAACACACATTACCATCTTTGAAATGGAAAAAAACAGAATATACTAAATGAAAATTTGATCTGAGAAAAAGGGGTTGTAGATTTTTCACCTCAGGATGAGCTTCAAGTTCATCACGGTCAACAGAATCACTGCCACAAGCAATGATCTTTAAGCAAGAAGAAGCTGTAGATTTTCCCATTTTCTTCTTCTTCTTCTTTCACTCACTGATTAACCAGTCTTGTAAGTGTTGTAGTAGATATTCTATATTTGTTGGAAATTGTACCTCATGAGCTGATAATAATAATTTTTAAAAAAAAGATTAAATTTTTAAGAACACGGACTTGAAACACTCTCCTTAAATCTAGCTAACTTTTGTATTTTGAGTTCCGTGGCTTCAGTTTTTTTTTTTTTTTTTTTTTACAGGTCCCAGTAGTCTCTCTTTATATTATATAATGAAAAGAAAATTAAAAAAAAAGATATCAATAATATATTTCCGTTGAGACTTGAAGACAAAAATTATTCTATTTAAAAATTAAAGTTCAGATCTGTTCTCCTCTTTTACTATTATCATTTGGTTTTATAATAATAACATAGTCAGTATAGTCTCGTAGAATAGGATGGGAGTAGAGTATACATATCTTACAAATAAAGTATACACGACATTACTTTTACCTTAAAGATAAATAGATTGTTTCTGATAGACTCTTGAATCAAGAAAAAATAGTTCAAATAATTCAAAAAAGTGACGAAAATATAAGAAATAACAGATAGTTATAGAAATTGAAAGATAAAAAAACTACAAAAATAATATTACGACTACTAAAATGATAAACGGATAATAAGATAACACATTATTACCTACAAACATTCTATCCTAATTTATGTCTTCCACATTCTTCTATCTAAGATTATATTTTCGATAAGCCGATATACACTCATTAATGCTCAATTAAATTTAAATTCATGCCGCGAAATTTTATATTTTGAAGTAAAGTGCTTGCTATTCAAAGCAAGTTTGAACTCAAATTTTTTAATTAAAATAAAAAAAATATTTATCACTCCATCATAATCCTCGTCAAATCCATAATTGCCTTAGTCATTCCTTCTCTTTATTACTTTCATATCTATAACCTCTATTGAGTTGAAAATGACTTTTACTTTTATTACTATTGTTTATTACTATATTAAATATTTTAGTTCTGAAAGTAATCAATGTAGAATACAGTTGAGTAAATGAAAAAAGAAGACAAAAAGATAACTTAATAAATGAAAACAATAAAAAATCTTTAATTACGCCAAAAGTATTTGAAAATTCAAAAGTAGTTCACCAATATCTTGTTCAACTAATAATCACAAGAAATGACATTAACTATCATCATTATTATTATTATTATTATTATTATTATTATTTTCCTACAAATGACTATTTTTTAATCTTTTAGCATAATATATTCCTTCATCTAATGAGTTTTTAAGGTAGTTTTATCTTACCTTTATCTTTTTTCCTACTTTTTGTTGAATAAAGTACTTTCAAGATCTTACACTACAAAACAGATAAATATTTACGTCCCCTCAATATTTATATTAAATTATATTAATTTACTATAACTAAATAAGATAAATGTATATATAAATTAATTTAATCTTTTAGTGAAATACATGCTCAGACAAAAAATTAAGTTTTAAATATCATTTTTTAATTTTAATATCAATTTTTTTAATCAAAATCTATAATCCAAAGAAGGTAATGATGATTATAGTTGGTGTTGTGTGTATTATTATATTATATATAGTCATTAATTGACATTGACCAAAGATGGAATCAGTTAAACCAAAATCTTAATGATGGATTAGTGCAAAGTTAATCCATTAGTTAGGATGTTATTTCCAACACTGAAATCAAAACAAAACAATCGTAACATTAAAGAAAGGTATCTAATTATAGTTTAAGAAATTGATGACATTTGTGACTTGTGAGATGAAAAACATTATTCGCGGTGGGATAGTTGAGATTCCTATATCGGATTTGAGTTTTGTGAATGAAAAAATCTTATTGAGAGTGACACTTTCAGAAATAAACTCTACGAAGCACAAATTTAAATTTAATCATATTCTAACATGGATACTGAATATCGAGTGGATATCGAGTGGAACGAAAAAGAGATTTGTGGCGAGTCCCAACTCCCAATTAGTGGACCATTTCACATGAAGTGGTCCTTGCCTCCTTTGGTTTCTTGTTGATGCTAAAAATGTTAATGATAATTTTGAACATTACAACGTTATTTTTATAGAAAATAACAAAAATGGTCCTTATATTTAAGGTAAGCCTAAGCTAAATCCTTTTATATATATTTTCATTTTTCAAACTTGTTAAAATGGATATCTTTTTAGTTTTAAAAATATTTTATAATGCTCTAAGGGTCGGATAGTATTTTTATAGGCAGTTTTACCCTACATATTTACGAGAGGTTATAGAAGGAACTTTTTTAAAACTATTTTAATCTTATTTATATATTAAGATATAATCGTTATTTATTAAATATTTACTTTATATGTCGTGTTTCTCTTTTACGAACTCCTTATATCTTGAATTTTTAAAATAATATTTTTTAAAAAAAATTACAATAAATAATTTGAGACGGATGTATCTAAGAGGGGAACATAAAATTTAATAGTAGCGGTGGCCGGCGGTGATACCGTTAGAATCTCAGGCTGTAAGAATATGTTATGACAAAAAGGTTCGAATGTAATTTACTGCAACACCAAATACGAGGATTCTTTATTGTTTTTCTCAAATATTTCAAAATGACGTTAATTTTTATTTTATTACTATAAAGTTTATAATATATTAAAATATTTGATGGTTTCGAAATAAGAAGCATCCTATTAAAAAAGATATCTTACAACTTTCATTAATGAAACGTTAATTAAGTACCAACATGAGTTATGATGTATTGATAAAAATATTTCGCCCTTAATAAGAGATTACGAGTTTGAATTTGTTGGGGTTTTTTTGCCCTGATTTCTTATTATAAATAGATTTTCCTTTTAGGAAAAAGTTTTAATATTTTGAGTAGTCCTTTTCTTGTAGGAAAAGTTTTAGAGCTTTATAAATATAGGTTTGTTCCTTTTAACTTAATCTACATTCACAATGTAGTTCTAGGGTTTTGAGAATTGCGGTTATGGAGGAGAATTTTGTGTACCTCCTTGTATTTCGAGTGAATTGGTTGAGGTTATTTCTTTCTATATTTTGTACTCTTATATTTATAGTGGATTGCTCATCTCCTTTGTGGACGTAGGTCGATTGACCGAACCACATTAAATCTGTCTCTTTTGGTGTGTTTCTCGTTTGTCTTCTTACTCGTGGTCTTTCGAGGTTTGATTTGCTAGTTTCCGCATTACACCTGCTTTTAGGAAAATGTTTTAATATTTTGAGTAGTCCTTTTCTTGTAGGAAAAGTTTTAGAGCTTTATAAATATAGGTTTGTTCCTTTTAACTTAATCTACATTCACAATGTAGTTCTAGGGTTTTGAGAATTGCGGTTATGGAGGAGAATTTTGTGTACCTCCTTGTATTTCGAGTGAATTGGTTGAGGTTATTTCTTTCTATATTTTGTACTCTTATATTTATAGTGGATTGCTCATCTCCTTTGTGGACGTAGGTCGATTGACCGAACCACATTAAATCTGTCTCTTTTGGTGTGTTTCTCGTTTGTCTTCTTACTCGTGGTCTTTCGAGGTTTGATTTGCTAGTTTCCGCATTACACCTGCTTATTTCGGTCCTAACAGAACTCTAGATTAGAGAAAATAATGTTAGGAATTGGAAGAACGAGTTGCTATCTCTTTATATTCGTAGAATCTTCTCTGTCGATTAACTTTTGAGGTTGAATTATGTTCGAAACTAATTTTTCGTTAAACGAGTTGTTGACAGGTGTCGTATCCTCATTGGTCAAGTGTTTCCGGACAGGTTACCCGCACATGCGGAGCACATGAGAAGAACCCCCGACCCGTTTTCTTACACCTGACAGCGCATGCCAATCGGTGAGTTTATTTTTTAAAATATATTTTGCATGTGAGATTCAAATAATTTACAATGGACTACACATGTTGATGAGATTTATTTAATCAAAATGATTAACGGATAATTAACATAAAAAAATACGTATTGGTCTTATCGATACACCAATAAACACAAGTACATAATTTTTTTATAATAAATAAATATATATACTCGATCTCTTCGTTTTTATATTATTTGATTCTAGTGACGGAGTCAAAAATTTTACTAAGAGGGATCAAAAGTAAATATACAAACTCGTTGAACGGGGTTCGAGATCTACTATATACATAAGAATAACTTTAATCATGTATAATAATATTTTCCGTCGAAGGAGCAGAGGCGGAGCCAAAATTTTTAGTGAGGGGTTCAAAATTTGTAGAAAATAGACACACGAAGCAGCCGAAGGGGTTCAACGTCTACTATATATATACAAAAAATTATTTTAACCATATATAAATAATATAAATTTTCGCCAAAAGGGGTTCGGATGAACCCCTTATACTAAGGTGGCTCCGCCCTGCGAAGGAGGTTTGAATGAACCCCTAACCACAAATTGTATCCGTCTATACTTGAATCATGTTGACTTGACACAACTCTTAAGAAACTTTTTAATAGAGGTCTATTCAATTAAACTAATCGTAATGATTTTTTGAAACTTTAGATAAGTAAAATAAAATATCTAGTTTTAATACAAAAGTCAAATAATATGAAACAAGTAAGCAGTAAATGAAAAATTATAGTACTAATTTATCTTTTTTCAAACTAAATATCTAGTTTTAATACAAAAGTCAAATAATATGAAACAAGTAAGCAATAAATGAAAAATTATAGTACTAATTTATCTTTTTTCAAACTATAAAAATGTCATCTATTAATAATTAAACTCCCAACCCATGTTCTGTTGTACATTAAACACGCAATATATTTGACTTTTTGTCTGTAAGTTTAAATAAAAAAGGAAAGGGAAAAGAAAATACACCCCAAAATGTGATTGACTATAATTATTTTGTTCTTAACTAGTTTATCCTCTCAATTATTTTTTAACTTTTAAGTACATAATGTATTAATTTTAGAAAATAATAAAACAATTATTAAGTTTAGACAGAGACTTCTACATTAAATATCCAATTAGAATAGTCCAACAAAATATAGCAAAAAAATCACCTAATAGATTATGCTGTCTCTTTTTCCCTACACCTAAGTTTAGTGTAAAAGCATAATCTTTTTCAGAAATAATTATTTTTAGGTAAGACAATAAAGTAACTTGTCTTTTTTTCACCAAATGGATGAGGCTAATTGATGACAACAATTAGTGAACAGT